AACTGTCCTGGATTGTCATATACAGGTAATCCTCAATTTACAACAGTTCATTTAGTGACTGAAGTTACAATGGCTTATGACCGTTTTCCACCCTTACGACCATTGCTGCATCCCCATGGTCATGTCATCAAAATTCAAATGCTGGGCAACTGACTCATATTTATGATGGTTGCAGTGTTCTGGAGTCACGCCAACTTCTGACAAGCAAAGTCAGTGGGGAAGCCAGATTTGTTTTACAACCATGTGACTAACTTAATAATGGCAGGGATCCGCTTAACCACCGTGGCGAGAAAGGTCGTAAAATGGGGCAAAAACTCAGGTAGCAACTGTCTCACTTAGCAGCGGAAATTTTGAGCTCAGCTGTGGCCCTAAGTCAAGAAGCACCTGTATTTCAACATGCAAAGCTTAATTTCCAAGGTTTTTACCCCCATTTCTTGTTTTTTTTCTCTTGCTGCTACTGCTGCTGCTGGTCATTTGGTCAAGCCAACCAAACCTGGCCACTGTCTGTAAACCTGGAACGCCGCGGATATTATTGTATGTCACAACAAACCTGGGTTTGGGGCCAAAGAGACCCTTTACAGCAATCTGCACCCAACGTTTGCAGAGATGACGCATGTCAACTCATCAAATATTCCTATGGTCTCTTTAGAGTTGCCAACAGAAAGGGAGAGGGGAGCAGTACGGCAGCTTGGAAATCGAAAGTGCATTCCATAAGCAGGGAAATGTACCACCAGAAAGAGCAGCTATAAGTAAAATATTAGACTGTGCAGAGATGGACAGGCTGACACTAAGACTGAAAGATAAAGAGGAATCGACATACTGTATAGTCTGGGATGCCTGGGATGCATGGCTTAAGAATAAAAAGAAATTAAAGTTGTAATTAGGTAAAGAATAGGAAATTATGTACAGAAATGTTTACATCTGTTGTGAAGAAAATAGAAATATATGGTGAAAATATGTAAGTTTGTAATAAGAGTAAGGGAAAAAATATACAATGGTAATGCAATGTAACAAGAAAGAAAGTATGTATAGAAACATGATAAAGAAATGAAAATTATGTCTTGACGTTGACACAATGATGTATATAATTTTATTTTATGTTTCTAAAACTTTTGAAAATTGAATAAAGTCCATTATAAGAAAAATAAAGAAAGTGCATTCCATAAATAGTTTTCAAAGATAGTAACTAGGTGACTGAAGTTTCTGCCGTGCAAAATTCTAACTGGAGAGCATGATTGATGACTCTGGGCTATGGATGTGTCCCATTGGAGAATATGAATTACGATACACCCAGGGGGGTGGGGGGAAACCAGGGTCAAGGGTGACAATGAAGGATGTGTCTCAGAGTTGGCTACATCCAAGCAATGCCAGACATGTTAACTCCCAATAAATCCTTTTGAAGTTTTGGAAGTTTGGCTCGAGACTCATGATTTAAATGGGGGTAACTGCTGGAATCCTGACAGCTAGCCAAGTCTCATTATTCATCATCATTACTGGAACACCTGGCCTCTTCAATCACTTCCTGACAACTGGAATACATGGAGAGAAAGTCAGGTTGACATGGCAGAAAGGGAGGAGGGTTTGCAACCCGAAGTCCTATACCTGCAGTAAGTTTGTTTTGAGGTCACCTTCAAGAAGTGAGGGGAGCCGAATGTCAACTCATAAAATATTTCTATGGTTTTTAAATCCTTTTGAAGTTTTGGAAGTTTGGCTCGAGACTCATGATTTAATTGGGGGTAACTGTCAGAATCCTGACAGTTACAACAATACTGAAAAATGTAATTAATGACAATTTTTGACACCTATGACCGTTGCAGCTGCCCAGTGGTGGGATTCAAATAATTTAACAACCGGTTCTCTGCCCTTATGAGTTCTTCCAACAACCAGTTTGCCAAACTGCTCAGAAAGTTAACAACTGGATCTCCCGAAGTGGTGCAAACTGGCTGAATCCCACCACTGCAGCCTCCCCCTACTACTATGGGGTCACTTGATCCAAATTCAGAGGCTTGGTTCCTATTTATGACGGTCACAGTGTCCCCGGGGGTCATGTGATCCTCTATTGAAACCTTCTGACAAGCAAAATCAATGGGGAAGCCGGATTCACTTAACAATCGTGTGACTAACTTAACAACGGCAATGATTCACTTAATAACTGTCACAAGGAAGGTTGTAAAATGGGGGAAAGCACACTTAACAACTGACTCGCTTAGCCATAGAAATGTTGGGCTCGGTTGCAGTAGTAAGTCGAGGACCACCTGCATAGAATGAGAAATCAGACTAATGGCCATTTCTTTTCAACAAAGAAAACAAGAAAGGAAAATCTATTGCTTTAGTCAGTCGGAGTTTTGGCTCGGATTGATTTATTCCTATAGAGAGATTTGATGTTGCTTTTCCAGGAAAATTGTGAGTTGCAGCTTTCAGTGTTTCTAAGGCGAGAGGAAGCCCCACTGAATTCAAGAGAATTAATTTAGAATTGTGCAATGTTGATGTAGCTTACCAAGGGCATTGTTGACGGAAATCAATGGATAAAACATGTGTTGGAATGCATTGTTGGAATGTATTTTTATGTGACAGCTACAGTAGTATTCAGCCAGTAGATGGCAGTGTTTACAAATTTGGATCTATGGTGTATATTCTATGTTCTTTCGCTCTAAGTAGAGTTCTCTGTTTCCTGTTAAGAGTTAAACAGTTGAGCAGTAAAGCACATGGTGACTCTTTGTTCACCACTCTGTGGTACTATATATAAACAGATTTTCTAACAATATGGTTCATCAAACTATAAATATCACTAGGCTATAAAAAAAGAGGTTGACACTCTAACAAGAGTGCAGAGAAGAGCAACAAAGATGATTAGGGGACTGGAGGCTGAAACATATGATGAACGGTTGCAGGAACTGGGCCTGGCTAGTCTAGGGAAGAGAAGGACCAGGGGAGACAGGATAGCACAGTTCCAATATTTGAGGGGCTGCCCAAGAGAGGAGGAAGGGGTCAAGCTATTGTCCAAAGCACCTGAAGGCTAGACAAGGAACAATGGGTGGAAACTGATCAAGGAGAGATTCAACCTAGAAATAAGGAGAGATTTTCTGACAGGGAGAACCATCAACCGATGCAACAGAATTTGCCTTCAGAGGTTATGGGAGCTTCATCCCTGGAGGCTTTCAAGAAGAGACAGGACTGTCATCTGTCGGAAATGGTGTAGGGTCTCCTACTTGGGTTGGGGAGTTGGACTAGATGACCTACAAGGTCCCTTTCAACTCTGTTATGTTCTAGTCAAGGAGAGAGACAACGTAGAAATAACGAAAAATTCCCTGGAAGTGAGATCCATTAACCAGTGGAACTGCTTGCCACCAGAAGTTGTGGGTGCTCCATCCCTGGAGGGGTTTAAGAAGAGACTGGACAGCCATTTGTCCAGAATGGTACAAGGTCTTCCACTTGAACAGGCGGTTGGACTAGAAGACCTCCAAGGTCCCTTCCAGGTCTCTGATTCTGTTTTTGATTGATATCAAGGACTTTCCCAGGAGGGTCAGAAAAATTAAAATGGTTTCTGCAGTTACACAATCAAAATCCCACTTCTTTTTTTAGATGCCAGGCGTGCCAAAAAAAAAAAGAGGGAGGGGCTTTTCTAAGTAGCTGGGGGGGACACAATATTGATTTCTTTAACCCTTCTGTGGACGTTCAGGATAACTATTAATATTATTAGAGGTCATTGTTAGCCTTCTGGCCTAATTAGGCAGGAAAGGCAAACGGATAGTCCTTGATTTACAACGGTTGGTTTAGCAACCGTTCAAAGTTATGGAGACACGGAAAGAAGGGTCTTACAACTGGTCCTCGCACTTACAACCGTCGCAGCACCTCCAATCAACATTCTGGGACTTGGAAACTGGCATATATTTACGACAATTGCAGCATCCTGGAGTCAAGTGATGGCCCTTTGCCCCCTTTCAGGCTGGGTCCCAACAAGAAACCTCAAAGGTTGAAGGTGGATTCACTTAATGACCACATGATTCACTTAAGGACTGCCCCATTATGCTTAACAGCTGTGTGGTGGGGAGGAGAGACCGTAAAATCGGGCATGACTTACTGAACAAACGGCCTTATTCAACGTTGACCATTTTAAGACTTGTGGACTTCAACTCCCAGCATTCCCCAGCCAGATATCCTATGCTGGCTAGGGAATTCTGGGAGTTGAAGTCCACCAGTCTTGACACCTCCGTTTTAGAGGCTGAAGAGAACTGTCTTTGAACAGCTTTCCCCCAAAAAATATAAGTGTTAAATCAGAGGTGGGATTTAAAAAAATCCCGGTTCTCTGTCCGGTTGCAGGGTGGGCGTGGCTATGGTGGGTGTGGCCTACCAGAACTTCCGGGAGGGCTGTTTTTCACCTTCCCCAGACTCCTGAGGCTTCCCTCGGGCCTCTGAGAGGGCAAAATGGCCTTCCTCAGGCTCTGGAGGCCCTCCAGAAGCCTGAAACAGGCCCATTTTCAGACTTCCGGAAGTCCCATTTTTTGCCCTCCCAGAGCCTCCATGGACCCTGCACTTACCTGTATCCAAAACAGGCCATGTGGAGACTCCTGGGAGGGGTGGGGAGGGGTGGACAGAGCCAGCCGGTCGCTTCAGCTACCGGTTCGGCGAACCAGATGTAAATTTAACATCCGGTTTCCACAAACCAGTCCGAACCGGCTGAATCCCACCACTGGAGTTAATTTAACCAAGTTTAGCTTCTGGTACAAATGCAGCCAGGGGGAGGGGTCCAACTAAGCCCACCATCCCAAACCCAAAAGCACGTTTAAATCTTAAGCCACCAATGCTGGTTTGTTCACATTGCCCTCCAACCCTGTCCTCCCTGGTCAGATTTAACAGGGCGTTCTCTGCACGGCTGGGCTGGCACAAGAAAGGGGGAAAGCGAAAGGCAGGGGTTTCGGGGGGGTTGTCTCTCCACGAGCCTCAAGTTTTGGGGAAGGGTTTGAGCTGGAGAAGGACTTTGTCTGCCGCGCTCTGAGCCTCTATAGGTCAACAACCTCCACAGAGGCGGCCTTGGGCCCTTCCTTTGACCGCGTGGTCACCTTGAACTGACGGCGCAGGAACCCACCGTAGCGCTTCTGCTTGTCCCACTTGAGTTTGGGACGGATCCTGCGCATGAAGCCCCCGTAACGTTTGTGTAGGTCCTCCAGGTCTCCCCCATCCTCCTCTTCCTCGGTGCCCGCCACCCCGGAGCCCCTCTTGGGGAACCTGCGAAGGAAGCCCCCGTAGCGCTTCCTCTCCACCTTGAGGGAGGCCAGATCGGGTTCCTCTTCCGCTCTGTGGGAGACCAGGTCCCGAATTTCGAGCGTCTCCAGGTCGTCTTCGTCGTCTTTCGGTTCCGGCTCTGCCCTCTCTGCCATCTTCTGGAGGAAGCCTCCGTAGGACCGACTGGCATCTCCTTGGGTGAGGATACGCTGTTTGGAGAAAATGGAAGAGGAGAAGAGGAAAAAGAAGAGAAGAAAAGAAGACCAGAGAAAGAGAAGACAAGAAGGAAGGAAGAGGGGAAGGAAGAGGAAAAACAGGACAGGAGACGATAAAAGGAAATAAGAGGAGAAATAAGGGGGAGAGAACGAGGGAGGGGAGATGGAAGGAAGGGAAGGAAGAAGGAAGGAAGGAGGGAGGGGAGGAGAGGAGAGGCAGAGAAGGGGAGAGGGAGGAGGGAGAAATGATAGCAGGGAGGGAGAGGAAGGAAGGAAAGGAAGGAGGTGGAAGGAAGGAAAGAGGGAAAGAAGGAAGGAAGGAGGGGAAAGGAGGAAGGAAGGAGGGGGAAGGAAGGGGAAGGAGTGGGAAAGAAGGAAGGAAGGAGAAGGAAGGAAGGAAGGAAGGAAGGAAGGAAGGAAGGAAGGAAGGAA